GCTTGGGCAGCTGTGCTTTCTCCAGTCCATAGGCCTCCCCTTCGAGACTAAGTGTCTTCCTCCACTGAAAGTGTCACCTTGTCTTGACTGAAAGTGTCACCAGGCTCTTCAGGGGCTGTTCAAATCTGGGGTGTGGACTCCTGGAATTTCTTCGGACAGGGAATGGTGTATGAATTTTGAAGCCACAGCAAGTATTCCTGACATTTTGCTTGGTTCATCACTAGGGTACAGCCACTCCTTCCATACCTACAACTGAATAAGAATCTAAGAATCCTCCTTTTCAAACACTTTGCTTTGGATGTCTCTTGAGTGAGGGTTGTGTAGCCAGTTATGAACTATGGAAGAAGTTCTCATCTTTGCAAATGCTCAGCAGTTCGCTGAACAAGTGCAATTCCTGGAGGACAGTGATTAGGGGAATATCCTGTTTTCCCTGAAGACATCTGAAAAGCTCATTTCCTGCAGCATGGGATTTAGGACAAGCACATGGAAGAAAAACACTGTAGAAATTAAAGCCTATTACATTTTGAAAGCCATGGTTTCTCTTGTGACTGATGCCTCTTTGGAGAGGCACACTGGATTTTAATCATATTTAAGCCAGAAAGATGAGGGGGTGGGCCACAAAGACTACAAAGACTGTTGTGTTGTATCTACTCTTCTTAAATGCAAATTACAGCACTCAGTGCTTGCCTGATGCATACTCATTCCTAGAAGCACTTTGTAGTGGTGGTAAGAAAATAGACTTATTTTTTAAAATTATATTCTATATTATTGTCTAGTTGAACAACTGAAGTTGTTGCTTTGTTTTGCTCTTTCCCTACCTCTTGCTTTGTTTATGTAGATGTCAAAAAAATCTCTCTGTCTATCTAGAATTGCTCCCCAAGTCCCCAGTATCCAAAGTTCTGGGTTAGATGGGAGTCATGTACCAATGCTCTGTCATTCAGAACAAAAGGGGTTTTTTTATAGAAAGAGATACTTCTCTGACATCACAAAACTTTCCCCAGATCAGTGGCAAGAAAATTGTACACCTGCAGGTCTGTCACAACACCAACTCCATTTCTGACCACTGGAGGCAGAAATTGGAGCTTTGGGGTGGAATGTTAATTTCTCCTCCATCCATTCATCCATCTATCATCAACTAAAAGGTGAATTGCAAGGAAGGAGCACTAATTTAACAAAATACTGCTTTTAAACTGTTGTGTGCAGGAGGGGACAAGTTAAAAGTGAGAAGCCAAGGGCAAATTTGCCTCTGTCATCCCAGCACCTGTGCCAAAAGGGTGCAAACTCACTGATGTCAGCCCAAACTACAAAATGTTGTCAGAGCAGCCTTTTTGGTGGGACCACACCAAGGCCATGAGAAGCAGCCAGTGTAGATCCCAGTGTGGTGTCTTACAGCAGTAGTGCCCTTTGTCTCTAGCAATAGCCATACTCCCAGCTGTGTTTTCTTCACACAGGGTGTGCTGGTGCCCTCAGACTGTGATCTGTTGCTTTGCTCCCTACTGGGGCACTGTGCAAACAGTCCCATCTTCACTACTAGAAACAGTTGTCTGTTTCATCTTAAATTATCCCAAACAGAGCTACACCCCAGCATTACTGTCAGACAAACTCAGGTTATTCGTGAGGGTAATAATGACCTTGCCTAGTTGTCTCAAGAGATTTTAAAACCCAAAGCAATTCCATATGACTCCCCAAAGTTTTTGTCTCTGCCAGGACTCTACACCAGATGAAGCAGCCCATAGCTTTTCCATATAAAAAAGTAATTTTTTATATACTCTGCACACCCAGGGAAGAGCAGCCTTTGATATTGCTGAATGGTTCCTGTAATCCAGCTGTAAGTGTAGTTACAACACTGAAACCAACCCTTGATGTGAAATCAGGTGGAATGAAACACAGAAGCTCTGTCTGGAGCTGAGCTCTTCCAAGAAATAACCAGGATCAGTCCTCTGTCCCCCTCCTTTGCAAAGCCTCAGGTTAAGTCCTTTGTAAGCCAGTTAATGAAATGGCAAACTTCACTCTGAAGTCAGGCCAAATTCTTATCAAAGTGACTGCTAGGTAATGAACAAGTTTTGCTGTAGTCTTCTGGCATCATTTTTAGTTTGATGGCAGAGATGCTGTTCTGGAGGTTGGTTTGGACCAGTGGTTTCAGCAGACCATACATAGCTTTTAGAATGCTGTTAAGTGTCCTTTACGAGGACTTTTAACATTCAACTTTATTTTAAGTGTAGGTTGGTAACCTTGACTTTATTGGAGTACTACTGATAAAGAATTTATATTGTTTTAAATTCATAATGAGAGAGCAAGAAGGCAGAAATAAGCTATCAGGGTTTTTTTGCAATTAATGCTAAAACTGCAGTATCTAATTTTTATAATAAAGTGACTACTGATTTACCTCTGTAGAGTTGCTTGTTTGTGCTGTGATTGAGTATATGAAAAAAAGGTGTTTATTGTATTGATACACTACAAAGTATATCAAAGTTGTCAGGAATTGTTTCACATTGTTTCATCGTTTCACCATGTTTGAATTAAGCAGAGAATGTCCTCAATGTGAATCTGATGAGACCTAATCCACTGATGATGTTGGTAGAGTGTAAGTCTGCATTTTGGCATGGCCAAGACCAATACTACCAAGAATAAAGTAGCTGGTATTCATCATTATTAGATGAATGTATCTTTATATTAGAGCTAACTACAGTTCTGACCTTACTGTGTTAGGGGGAAAAACTCTGCAAATTAAAAGTAGATAGCAGAGTTCTCTGTTTCAGGGATAATTCCTGAAAACCAGTATTTTATCAATGTAGCAGTATTAACAGGTGTTAATTACTAGACTTGGGAAGTTCAGAAATCCTGAAATGAAATGCTGCTGGTTCTCCCAGCAGGTGGCAACAAACTAACAGAAAACAATTATACAGGGAACACCAGGAAAGTGTTTAAATCTTCATTCACTTACTGAGGAAGGTATTAGAACCTGTGGGAAATGCAAAGACTTACATGTCCCAAATAAAAAGGAAAAGAGGATTTTGTGTGATCACCTAAGAACTTACTAAGAGTGCACTGTTTTTTACCATGGCATAATAATGTTCTAGAATAATCCATGATTCTGCCACTGCTGGTGAGTCATTTAGGTAAGCAGCCTGTAGGGAGGGAGTGATGTACATCCAGTAAAGGAGAAAAAGCATTTAACTGTCCTTCATTGGCCTCTTGATGTGTTTCAATCTCCAGCATATTGAATTAGGGGAAGAAGGAGAAATCACATCCCATTCAGGGTGATGGAGCCCTGCAGTCCTGGTTGTATCTGAACACCTGCCTGCCCATGGGAAGTGTGAATCCACTCCTTGGTTTGCTTTGCTTGTGTGCACAACTTTTGCTTTGTGTGTTAAACTATATCTCAAGCCACAGGTTCTCCCTGGCTCTTCTGATCCAGTGCTCAGTTGCCAGCTGGGGTTAAACCAGTACAACAGTACTTCTGAGTTCTAGATTATTCAAAAATGCCATTTTCAGAGATGTGTCTATCTTTAATTAGAGAAAAAGGCTTTAGGTTTCATATGGCAGCTCACCACCTGCCCACTTACTTTCCAAGAATCCAGATCCAGGCCATATCTGCCTCATGTCTCTGTGGTCTCCCACTGGCACAGAAAATGCCACAAAGGACTGTTGCAAATAATTTAGTAATTCACAGACCTCTTTTGGATTTTGTCACTGCTGGATCTGACACATTGACTCAAAGCGTGCCTAAGAGGTTTTGGGTGGTGGACTGCTCAAAGTATTTGCTGTGAGAGTTTTTCCTGGCTCTCTGAAGCTGTGAGCATTATTACCATTTCAGATTGTCCAGAGCACCAGAGCTTTTCTGGGATGTTACCACTTCCACTAGAAAAAGAACACTAGAGCAACCTATTCCTTAGTCTCAAACCATCAAAAATCTGATGGTTTTCTGAAGAACTCTCAGATTCAGCTTACGCAAAGCAGCAGATGGAATTTATAATGGAAATTCTTTGTTAAAAACCAATTATGGCTCCAAAAATTATGTGGCTTTTCCCAGCCAAAGTCAAAGAGTAATGGTTTGCAGGTCTATGTAAAGAACAGCAAAATGAAGACTATACAAAGTGAGTTTATAAAAACCAGTATGAACTAGTTCTCGCTGTTAAAATGTAGGTGTTAAAGAAGATATTTCTATGCTGGTTGCCAACAGTGGCAGAACAATCTATTATTATCATCATGTCAGAGTAGACTAATCTACATTTTAGGAATTGTCTATTTAATGTCTGCGGATTAAACATCATCATAAACAGTACATTTATAAAATCAGGGGATACATGATGCAGATTCAAGCAATTAAGTGTGCCTTCCTCTTCGTTACTTAAGGGTTGCAACCATGAGGATTTCTCTACTGAGAGAAGCTGCTGCTTTCCAGTGGTGAACAGTGCAGAAGGAGCAAAGTGGAGGAGGCGACTGCACTAGTTTGGTGTCAGAATGTTGGGGTGATGCCTCCAGATCTGTCCTGCAATAAGAATCAAATTTCTTTCTGTGCTTGGGCAGAGAAGTGAGAGTCTGTACTGAAAGCTGTCCCATACTGCTGACAGCCTGGATGACTGCACATGGAAAGAGAAGTAATAGAAGTAAATTGAGATGTTAATAGAAAAGCCAGGAGATCATTTAAAAGCGCTAGTAGAGCACACTTAAGAATGGTAGTTATGTTCACTTTCCAGATCTCATTTTTGGCTTTCTTTCCTATCCTTCTCTTTTCCATTCGTTTGCTCTCTTATGCCTTCTGTACTGGAATTCAGGTGTGATTTTCATCTACAGAAGTTTGTGCTGGGGAACTGGGACGGCGTGTGATGTAAAACCCCGAGGTGTGAGAAAGCACAGTGTACAACGTGTTACGTGGCCACACTCCAAAGCAGTAAGTGTGCCAGCCCTGTTTGCACTGAGTTTGCAGCCTGGGGTGTCTGTGAGCCCGGGCTCTGTGGGTGGATTTGCACAGGAGGGTGCTGCAGGCAGCAGGGTGACCTCGTCCCGCGGCGCTGTGACGCTGAAGCGCAGCAGCAGGTGCTGGGGACGGGCCCTGGGTGCCTCCTGCCCTGCAGCCCAGAGCCAGGCTCCAGCACAGACCTGCCACCAGTGACCCCAAAGGGAGGGAAACCCCTCTGGAGACACCATGGTAAGGGGGATGGGGGAGCACCGGGCACATGGGGACTGGGGGGCTGTGGGTGAGGGAAGGCAGAGGGGTCTGCTGTCGTTATCAGTGGGTTTTGCCACTGAGCCCTGATCTCACACACCACTCACCACGTAAGAAAATGGGAAAGGAGTGCAGAAAATCTCACTGAAGCATTACTGCATTGTTTCTTCAGAGAGTTCCTAACTAGTGGGATTATAAGATAAATTAGATGTGGAGTCTTGGCTGCTTGGTACTTTCTGTTGTGACCATATTTTCTCAACACCAGTTCATTTCCATGCAAGACAATTTTTTTTAGATATAAACCAAAAGATGTATTTACCATTGTGTCTGTTTCAAATTAATTTAGCCCCAATGGCTATACTGTCCGTAGCTATACAGGGTATGTGTGTGTGTTTCTGGAGTCCATTAATCTTTTTATATATGTATGTGTTTAAGTAAGTTAAAAAATGCCCTTTGTTTTTAAGTTTTGCTGGTTTGTTATAAATTCGTAGAAATCTCTCAAAACCTCTTAGAATGTGAAAAAATCCATTTCACCTTGTATCCTGGTATATCTCTAGCACTGAGTCTAATTTTGGTGCAGAGGAAGAACTTTCTGCCAGCTCATCTCACAGGCAAAATACTTCCACAGGCTTCCCAGACCTAGGGAAGTGAGCGTGTTTGTGGAGAGCTGGAAGACTAAAGTTCTCCTTTTGCAGTAAATCCTGGAGCCACTTTGGTTTTTTTTAAGAGTTAAAGCTGTCCCAAAGGTTTAGTTTCACAAAGTCCTTTCTACTGTTTCTTTGTTAGACCTGTCCTGGGTCATTAGTGGTGGGATGTGAAACATGAGTTTGGAATAGGCTCCAAATTCAAATATCACGTAAAGATCAGTTTACTCTGACTGCGACGCTGAAGAAGGCCCACCCTCTTCCCTACTAAAAGTCTGGCATGTATTTTAATGCTGTTCACTATGCAAAGTCAGAAACCTCTTTTTCACTGTCTTCTCTCTTTGGCAGAATATTTCCAAATTACTGCTGGGAAAGGAGAAGATGAAATGGCTCAAAAAGCAGGGTTGAGATGTGGTTTCAAACTAGTGCAGCTGAAAACTAAGTCTGAAATTCTTCAACTAGAGTCATATATAAAGTTTTACAATACTAACTTGCTAAGGCAGCATTCACTTGTTCCATCTGTGAAAAAACAGACCAATTCCTCTACAGACCTGAAGAAATGAGCAAAGCAGCTCTTTAGGTTTAAAATACCGCTTGACTTGTAATTGTAGTTTTGCTTTAAAATATATTGTTTTTAAAAGCCAGCTGGCCTCATTGCTGTGTTTGAAAAGAAACTCTTATTTTTCTTGCTGCCTGCCAGCCTCACAGATTCACACTGGGATTTGAAAGAAAAGGCAGGAGCCTGCTCTGTGGAAAGTCAGCATTAATTGAATTCTCTAAGCCCAAATATGCCTTCAGTGTCTCCTGAGTAATCCTCCAGATTGCAACACACTGATTTCTGGAGCCCCATTGTCACTCAAATAACTCAGAGACTTCTGCCCAACTCAGTTGACAAAGACAGGGTTGTGCAAGTACACTTGAGAGCACATGCATTTCCAGAGTCAGCAGAAATTTTCAGCTTAGAAATGAGTACTGAATAAAAATAATTTATTTCGTTGAATGAAAGATTTAAATAGAGCTTTCATGTTCATCTGAATGTCTGGGGATGACTAGCTGGGGCAGTGATGACTTGAAATTCTAGTTGCTTCAGAAAAAATTTCTTCAGTTATGTTTCTTACACACAAATTTGTGTCAATTTGAAGAATTGAAAGAAAAGAAAACACTGCTCCAGAGATGTTGCTGGTCACACATTGTGACTGAAAATTTAGTTTTTGGGGAGGATACATTTAATTCTCAGGTCACAGAATAATTTTGCTGGGTAAGCAGTTACAGAATTTAATTTTTTTAAAAATTAACTGGTCAAATCTGATAGTGCCATTGGTTATCTCTAAATGCAATATTACAAAACAAGAATGAGTGAGGACCATCCTCTGCCCTTAAAGCCAGGCCTGCTTCACAGCTGGGCATCTCAGTTCTCCTTCCCTCTCCAGAGCCTGGCAGTGGTCAGTGAGCTGCTCACTGGAAACCATTCTTGACAATGAGTTCTTTTCTGCATGGTGCCCAAGCATTGTCGAAAAATATTAACCGGCCTAAGACAAAACTCTGCCAATTTTTTTGAATTATCAATCAGCACAGGAGATCACAGGCCAGCGTTCAGTACTATGACCTGACTTTTTCTTACTCCCTAGTATAGACAGGGCCCTGGGGATCACAAAAACAGAGCTCAGGCAGCTTTAATTGCTCCAAAGCAGAAACCAAATCTGAAAAAAATCCACATGCCTGAAACCACTCTCTCCTCAAAAAAAATGCCTTTCACTACACCCAGTGTTGCAATTGCTGGGACTAACCCAGAAGTATTTGCTTTATAATTGTTTGTGAATTTATGAAATCCAGCAGCAGAGCCTTTTAAAAGCAGTACTTTTAAGTGTATTTTGGAGCAATTGACAGCTGCCTACTTTAGCCTGGTGCTACACAGTTTTCTCTTCCTGGCTGCCACAGAAACAAAGCTGGGAATCATGCAAATACACTTTACTGCAATGGCACTGCCTGACAAGCAGTGGACCCGTGATGTAAAATTAATGGCTGCTCAGGAGCTGGAAGGAACATTTGTTTTGACCAAGAAAATCTGGAGTAATTGAAAGCAGCTCTTCCAAGTTTCCACACTAGCCTGCTCTCAGAGGGTAGAAGGATCAAAAGACATCATCTGCCTCGGGTTACACAAGGGGGAAGGATGCCACATGGCTGTGTCAGGTTCCAGCCAGGGGTAAAAATAAACTAAACTGGGATGTGCTCCTCAGCAGGGCCAATCCAGGAAGAAAGGTGGGGTTTGTGTAACTGAAATTAATTTTTCCTGACTGTTTTAATGTACTTCTGTAGTAGAGCACGCAGATCTCAGTTTTTTAAAGAACTGTCCCAGTATCTGGCATGTGCATGAGCAGTCTCATTGTGGTCATGGGGCTGAACAACCAAATTAACAGCTGACAATTCAGATATTCTGGAAGAGCAATACACAGGGAAAAGGCAACCACCAGGAATAAGGAGGGCTAAAACACACTGATTTTTCTGACCCTGCTCTCCTCTCTCCCCTCAGCGTGAGTGCATCTCTGTTCACGTTGGCCAGGCTGGAGTGCAGATAGGAAATGCGTGCTGGGAACTCTTCTGCCTGGAGCACGGCATTCAGCCCGACGGCACCTTCAAGGACCTGCAGGACAAACTCAGCTCTGATGACTCCTTCACCACATTCTTCAACGAAACAGCCACTGGGAAGCACGTGCCACGGGCTGTAATGGTGGACTTGGAACCAACTGTGGTAGGTCAGTACAGAAATAAACCTGCAAAATGAGCTTGATTTTCCTCATATCACCATGCTGTGCCTCCAGTCTTCACTGGCACAAAGTGGCCCTTTGCACCTCGGGCTACCACTAGAGAGCATGGTGACACAAAAAAAAAATCAATTTTCTGTGACACAGGACGCCAGAATCTGTCACAGGTGTTACAAACACTGGAACGAGAGGATCCCCAGCAGTTTAATGGTTGGTACATCTGGCGTGTACAACTTCTCTTTGCATCAATATTGGGGGTTGTTTATCATGACACTTTTGCCGTTCAAATTCTGCTTTTCTTCAGTTTGGATTTAAAGCAGGAGCCTGATCGCTGCCCTCCAATAATAGAATGTCTATAAATTGGGACACCTGAATGTCACATTCACATTTTCTGAAAAATCCCTTCGCCCAGGATTTTTCTCCTGGGAAGCTGAGAAGCCTCAGAGAAAAAGGAAAACAATAATTATCTGATTTGCTTCCTGTGTTTTGCTCCTTTGGAATGTGTTTGGACATTGTTTACCCACAGGTGATTGTTTCATTGGTTTCTGCTGTGGGTTGATTTGACTCAATGGCCAATTGGGGCTCTGGAAAGAGTCACGAGTTTTCATTATTATCTTTTTAGCCTTCTGTAAGTATCCTTTCTGTATTCTTTAGTATAGTATAGTTTACTATTCTTTAATATAATACAGTATCATAAAATAATAAATTAGCCTTCTGAGAACATGGAGTCAGATTCACCATTCCTTCCTTTGTCTGGGGATCCCTGTAAATACAATACCTGAATTTCTTCACACTGTTTTTTCTGGGGACTTGTCACCAACAAGCTCATGAGAAGATAAGTGGCTGGACTGAAGATGCACAACAAATCAAACAAATGCAACAATGAAGAAATGCTCAGGAGACATTTCCCTTCTCCATCAGCATCTGTTTTTTGGCATCATGAGCTTCTGTGACTGACAGCATCCACTGATGCCAACAACAACCCAAATTTGTTGGCACTGGAGCATATTCTTACAATTTCTCTTTCTTCTTCAGATGAAGTACGGGCTGGCACCTTCCGAGAACTTTTTCACCCAGAACAGCTGATCACTGGAAAGGAAGATGCAGCCAATAATTACGCCCGTGGCCACTACACCATTGGCAAGGAAAGCATTGATATGGTGCTGGATCGTGTCCGTAAGCTGGTAAGTCCCAGTAGCTCTGAAACAGCAGTTTGGACTCTGCAGAAGAAAGAAGGGCAGAACTAACAGCTTGTTAATTGCAAATGATTCCAATGGTTCAGCAAAGAGATTGCAAGTCATACAGATGGTATCTTGGACATGGTATAGAAGAGAGAAGCCCCGTAGTTCACTTCATAGTTCACTTCCCAGCTGCTTTTTTATAAAGTGGTTATGAATATGTAATTTTTAATTATTAGCACAGCCCTTCAGCACCAATACTGATACTGAAGGGCGGATTATGCAGATGTACGTCGCTGGTTTCAGCTAGAGTAAGAGAGCAGTGTGAAGTTCAGACAGAGAGAGGCCTAGACAGATCCCTATGTCTTAAGTTGAGAGAGTGAGGAAAGTAAAGGTTGGAACTATCACCAGCCCTTTCCCAGGAAATCTTGACATGAAATCTATGCTGTATACTGCCTATGACTGCTCGCTCCTTCAGCTCAGGAGAAGCTCACATAGCAAAGTCTTTTCCTCCTCTTTCAGCCGCTGCTGTTTCACTTTCTCTTTTGCTTTCTAGACCGATGCCTGCTCTGGGCTGCAAGGATTCCTGATCTTCCACAGCTTTGGTGGCGGTACCGGCTCTGGATTTACCTCCCTGCTGATGGAACGCCTCTCTGTGGATTACGGAAAGAAGTCCAAACTGGAATTCGCCATCTACCCAGCCCCTCAGGTCTCCACTGCTGTGGTGGAACCCTACAACTCCATCCTGACCACGCACACCACGCTGGAGCACTCGGACTGCGCCTTCATGGTGGACAACGAGGCCATCTACGACATCTGTCGCCGCAACCTGGCCATCGAGCGCCCCACCTACACCAACCTGAACCGCCTGATCAGCCAGATCGTGTCCTCCATCACCGCCTCGCTGCGCTTCGACGGCGCCCTCAACGTGGACCTGACGGAGTTCCAGACCAACCTGGTGCCCTACCCGCGGATCCACTTCCCGCTGGTCACCTACGCGCCCATCATCTCCTCGGACAGGGCGCACCACGAGCAGCTCTCGGTGGCCGAGATCACCAATGCCTGCTTCGAGCCCAACAACCAGATGGTGAAGTGTGACCCGAGGCACGGCAAGTACATGGCCTGCTGCATGCTCTACCGCGGCGACGTCGTCCCCAAGGACGTCAACGTAGCCATTGCTGCCATCAAGACCAAGAGAACCATCCAGTTTGTCGACTGGTGTCCAACCGGCTTCAAGGTGAGTAGGGCTGGCACAAGCTTCTCTTGAGTGTTGAAAGGGGAGGTTCAGTCTAGTAGAAAACTTGTATTCTTAAAGTTTTCTAGCAGAAAACATGTATTTTTAAAGTTTTCTAGCAGAAAAATTATATTCGTAAAGTTTTCTAGCAGAAAACTTGTATTCTTAAAGTTTTCTAGCAGAAAACTTGTATTCTTAAAGTTTTCTAGCAGAAAACTTGTATTTGTAAAAGTTTTCTAGCAGAAAACTTGTATTCTTAAAATTTTCTAATAGAAAACATGTATTTTTAATGTTTTGTATCAGAAAACTTGTATTCTTTAGGTATTCTAGCAGAAAACTTGTATTTTGGAAGTTTTCTAGCAGAAAACTTGTATTTAAAGTTTTCTATCTTGCCTATTTCTCCTATATCCCCCAGAATATGGGGGAATATAGATATTTCCCAATGAACATAAGGATGCTTTTACATAAAATGTGTCTTTTCTCCTTTGGACATCCCATTACATATTTAAATAAATGAAAGTTCAAAGTGTGTATGGGTTAAAATTGAAAGAAGTTTTAATTTCAGACCTGACCTCTGGAACAGCCAACGAGCGTCGCCTCTGAGGCACAATCTAAAATTGAGGAAATACCAAAGCTGATAAAATTAAAAAGGAAATGCTGATATTAGGGAATCTCTTAGTTAACCTAAAAATATTACACAGCCTCTCCCCACTGGTTACACAGCAGTGTCTGGAAATACATTTTCAACAATAATACAGACACTACCAGTGGAAAAGTATTTGTCATACAAACAGCTCCTTCAAAAATTAAAACCTCCAACTGGGAACCAACTTTTTAGGTTAGTTTCTACAGAGTATCTTGCAATAATACAGACATTACCAGCGGAAAAGTCATACAAAAACTCCTTCAAAAATGAAAACCTCCAACAGGGAACCAACTTTTTAGGTTAGTTTCTACAGAGTATCTTGGTGAAACTCTATGTTCAGTAGGTGTTAAGAAAGCTACTAACTGGTCAGTGTGCATTAAACAGTAGAATAGTAGACGTTAGAGCGTGTTTCGTGCTCTTTGACATTTGAAATGGCATTTGCCATCTGGCACCAGCATCTGTAACTTCACTCACCTTTCTTCAGCTCCTTGACTGCCTCCTGCTCCTGCTGTTGTCCAGCCTTCTCTCACATCCCTGTTTCCAGGTTGGGATCAACTACCAGCCTCCTACAGTGGTTCCTGGCGGAGACCTGGCCCAAGTTCAGCGGGCAGTCTGCATGCTGAGCAACACCACGGCCATCGCCGAGGCCTGGGCAAGGCTGGACCACAAGTTTGACCTGATGTACGCCAAGAGAGCTTTTGTGCACTGGTATGTGGGGGAAGGCATGGAGGAGGGAGAGTTTGCAGAGGCCCGAGAGGACCTGGCTGCCCTGGAAAAGGACTATGAAGAAGTGGGAACTGACTCGTTTGAAGAAGAGAATGATGGGGAGTGATTTTAAAATACATTTTGTTCCTGGTGAGCACAGAATTGTCTCCTGTACTGCATGTGTCAACAATTAGCTCAGATTTTCTGCACCTTGTAAACATAAATTTAGGAGAGGACATTTTTTATTACATAAATGACAGGCAAATTATCCTGTAAGATACAATCAGCTGTAGTAATGCCACACCATTCCCAGTGATGTAAAAAGACTTGCTCTCCCTTGCACACTTAATGTGAGCCTGTCTAAGCTCTAGTGAACATGAAAAACTCACTACATTCCACATAGGTCTTCCCAAAAAGCTGCAGAACCCTGCTTCCTGCTCCTGCATAAGAGCAGCAGAGCCAACAGGGACACCACAGACACCTGCCCAAGCCAGGATTCTGTGGAATCCACAGTCAGCTACGACACTCTGCGGGATATTTGAAAAGTCATGGCAGTCAGGTGAAGTCCCAGGGGACTGGAAAAGGATATTTGAAAAGTCATGGCAGTCATGGTGAAGTCCCAGGGGACTGGAAAAAGGGAAACATTGTTCCCAGTGTTAAAAAGGGCAGAAAGGAGGGTCCTGGTGGCTGCCAACCTCTTGGCCTCACCTCTGTGCCTGGGAAGTGCATGGAAAAACTCCTCCAAGAAGCTGTGCTAAGGCATAAGGAGGGCGGGTTTAACTGGATGCTCATGGAAAAATTAACTGGGCACTTAGGCATGAAGTACCTAGGTGCTCATGCATAAATTAATTGGGAATTTATTAACACCTCTGTGCAACAAATGAGATATTGTCTTGCTTTTTGATTAGGTTCTCCTGCATGCATTTGTGGCCCTCCTTGCTCATTTCAGAATCTGGATTTTTTTAATGACGCTAATACAGAATGTCTTATAAAAATAAGGCAATTCTTAGAAATACCCAAGTTGCCTTTCTTTCAAGACTGTGAACTTTCAGGCCTTTCTGGGACTGATTCTGCCAGATATTCCTCTCAAAAAGTAAGATAATATCTCTCCTTTGTTCACAATTCTGTTCATAAATTATCAGTTAATTACTGCATGAGTGTTAATTACCCATTTCCCACCCTTTCCCCCTCATATTTCTCATCCTTTTTCCACCTCATGTTTTCTGCCCCTTTTTCACCTCACATTTCCCACCATTTTTCATTTCACAATTCCCACCATTTTCTTTTTCTCTCTTTTTCTGCCCTTTCCCCCCCTCTGCTTAAATATTTCAGATGTTGGAAAGAGGGGGATTTTTTTCCTCAATTAAACCTTAAATAATGGAAAAGGCAAGTTTTCCTTTAACTGATACCCTTAAAATCACAGGTGAAGGGGGATCCCCTGCAATTTAAACACATGCAATAATGAAAAAGGAGGTTTTCTCCTCAATATAAACCCCTTTTCCATCAAACCCCTCTTTTGTCTGGGGTCACTGGGGCACACTAGGGAGGGACTGGGGGCACTGGGCAGGGGACCAGAAGCACTGGGATCGGACTGGGAAGATAAATTCAAAAAGAGAAAGAAAAAGGATCTTCCCTGCAGCCCCGGGCTGCCCTGGACACTGATTTACGGAGAGATTTCCCTAAATCCCACTGGGAGTCTCACTCAACCAGCCCTGCAAACCTTTCCCCTTTTCACATTACACCTGAGGCCGGCTGAGAGGAAGAAAACCAGAACACCGTCCAAAAGTTACCGGGATGGGCCATCCCACAAAACCCGGGCTGGATTTGCACGGAACACCGAATGGGGGAAAACACGGACTGGGTTTTTTCCCCGGAATACGGAAAAACTTGGACTGGATTTTTTTCCTTGGAATTCAGAATAGGGAAAAACCCAGACTGGATTTTCCTATAATATGGAATGGGGAAAAACTCAGCCTGGATTTTTTTCCCTGGAATAGAGAACAGGGAAATACCCGGACTGGATTTACCTAGAATATTGAATGGGGGAAAACCTGGACTGGATTTACCTAGAATATGGAATGGGGAAAAACATGGACTGGATTTTCCCACAATACAGAATGGGGGAAAACCCAAACTGGATTTTTTTTCCCCGGAATATGGACTGGGGGGAAACCCGGACTGGATTTACCTGGAATGCAGAATGGGGGAAAACCTGGACTAGATTTACCCGGACTGGATTTTCCTGTAATACGAAATGGGAGAAAACCCAGACTGGATTTTTCCTGGAATACGGAATGGGGAAAAACCCAGACTGGATTTTTGCCCACATTCCTAAAATGTAATTCTCCTCCTAACTGAGCGCCCAGGCTCTCACAGGGGTCATTACCAAAACCTGTTTCAACTGCACGCTGCTTTACTAACTTCCACTTGGCAGATCTGGCTCCTGTTTCACCTCCAGTGTCCTTTTGCACTTTGCTCGGGCGGTTTCGTTCTTTCTGGGCAATTTATGGCTTAGAAGTTCTCCTCTCTCCCTTCCTTCCGTCTGTCGGGCAGTCGCCACGCACGGCAGTAATAGAAAGGGAACATCATTAAATTTAAACTATTGCTGAGAGCCTCTGCCACAAACCAAGACACTGAGTCATTTGTGCCCTTCTGCTCAGAAGTCCCTGCAGATACCCACATCCCTCGGTGACGATCCAGGACAGTTTTCACTGTCCCTGTGCCTCGACTGAAGACCTCGGACTGCTCCGACAGAGCCAGGCAGGGTGAGCAGGTTCCCCATTACCTGCCCAGGGGGTTTGCTGCTGAGGAGAACTCTCTGTGTGTGGACACACAAGGTTTGATTCCATTTTCAGAAGGCTGGTTTGTTATCTTATATATTAAACGAAAATGTTACATAAAAACTATACTAAAAGAACAGGGAGAAAAGAAAGATCAGAAGGTTATAAAGAATAAGAATAGAATGTAATGCATAACAAAATCCTGTGACTGCTCACAGCCTCAGCACAGGTGGCTGTGATTGGTCATCAATTGAAAACAATCCACATGGACCAATGGAAGATGCACCTGTTGCTTTCCACAGCAGCATATACTTATTGTTTACATTTCTTTCCTGAAGCTTCTAGCTCTTCAGGAGGGAAAAAATCCTAGGAAAGGATTTTTAATAAAATATCACAACTACAGTTTGCAGCTGGGACCTCTCCACAAGGTCAGCCCTGAAGGGCTCCAGACAACCCAGTGAAAGCCCCCCGTGCAGTCTCCTCCCCACGCTCAGCCAAGCCGGGCGGGCGCTGCCCAGGGATGGAGCGCCGGCTGTCCCCACCTGCGTGCGGGCAGCTCAGCCCCACAAAGCTGAGCGCTCCGCATCAAGTGACACAGCAGCGGCGCTGAGCACCCCTTCTCCCTTTTCTCCCAGCCCCCTCCGTGCCGGGAGGGCGGCTCCGAGTTTCACTTTCTGTGCCCGCTCCCGGCCGAGCGGGAAATGAAAACTGCGCGGCGGGGCGGGCGCTGCCGCTGCCTGACGCGCCGGGGCCGCCCCGCTCCGCTCCGCCCGCTGTCCGCCGGTCTTCGCAGCCTTCCCGAGCCCTGCAGCCCTGCCGAACCCTGCAGCCTTCCCAAACCCTGCAGCCTTCCCGAACCCTGCAGCCTTCCCAAACCCCGCAGCCTTCCCGAACCCCGCAGCCTTCCCGAACCCCGCAGCCCTGCCGCTCTCCGGGAGGAGCGGCCCCTCCGCGGGGCAGACGCGGTGCGCCGTCCGCCGCTGCCCCGCGCCCCTGTGAGCGAGGATTGGTAAGAAGCGTTTTGCTGGTTTGTGAGGATGTTTTTGCTGGTTTGTGAGGATGGTTTTGCTGGTTTGTGAGCTCGGATGCCGGAGGCGCAACCTGGCAGGAGCGAAGGAAATAGAGAGGGAAATAATTACGGAGAGTAGTTCGGCAGCTAAGTGGGGAATCTTTCAGCCGCATCCCATCCAAGTGTGGAGGTGATGCGCTCTTAGGTGCTTCCCTCCCCTCAAGGGTGGGTTGTCACGCTGAGTCTCTGCTGGAGCCAGCACCTCAGGGGAACCATGGAAGCATAGAATAGTTTGGGTTGGAAAGGACCTTGAAATCACCTAGTTCCATAGATTGCTCAGAGCCCCATCCAGCCTGGCCTCCTTGCTGCAGCCCACCGCCAGCCCAGGATCCCCAGGAAGGAAAAGGAGCTGACAGGGAAGGGATGACAAGGACCAGAGGTGGGAGCCCCTCTCGGGCATGGGGAAAGCTCGGGGTTTGTCGTGAGAAGCCGGTGTCCTGGAAGGGCAGATGGAGACTGGAGCAGGGCAGGGAGAAAGGGAGGGCGCTGGGCTGGCAGAGGGAGAGGAGTGTGAGTGTAGGTGATGATGGGCTGGAAGGTATCACTGCTCCCTGTTCTCTGCCCAGTGCTGGTGCCAGCTGGGGCACTGAGGTATCCCAGCTGGTTTCCCTGCAAAGGAAACCAAGGATCAAACTGCTCCCCCAGTGAGAGAGGAGAAATGAGGGGCAGGAGGAGAGCCCGCTGCTCAGTTCCTTTCCTCACTCACCACACCTGTGCAGGGAAAAGGAGGTCAAGTGCAAGTCTTAGGAAGGCTGTATTCCTGATAGCCAAAATGAAGAGGTTCCAAGGGTTGGGAAGTTCTGTGTGTGTCCCTGCTCCCACAATTTTCTCTCACCAATATTGGTGACTGGTAGAAAATTTCATGGAACCAGAGACACAAATCCCCCTGCACCTTCCTGCCCTAAGATCTTTCTACCTTTTCCTCGAGCCACCCAAAGCCATTCAGTGCTTGCTCTTTAATCCCACTCTTAGTTCTCCCTTTTCTGACAAAACCTGTGTCTTGCAGGTTTGTTTTATCCCCAGCACATCCCTAGCTATGTTTAGCTACCTCTGCGCTGTCTGCCCCTCTCCTTTCCATCTCTTTCATCATCCTCACTCCCTGGGAGCATCCCTTACCTCCTGGCTGATCCTGCACCAGCTAAAGTCCAGCTCAGCTTTCAGAAACCTGAACCTGTCGTTAAATCATCTCCAAGAAAACAGGCATTCTCTGTTCAGGCTCTATTTTGGCAAGGGAGAAATCAGATGAAATTTATCTTTTCCTGCGTAGCTGTTCTAATCACCGTGTTTGGGTATAAAAAGTAATGCTCTTGAATCTGTCTTTCAGAGTTTGGGTTTTTTCCCCCCCAAAAAGACTTTTCAGCAAATTCGACAGTATTTGGTGGATTTTAGTGTGTGACACTTAGAGCTTAAAAGTAATCTTCAAAAATAAGCAATCAAAAGTAGAGTTGCAAATATATATACTTAAGCTTAAAGGTAATAATCAGGGAAAAAAATCCATGTCTAGCTTTTCTGCCTGAATCTGCAGTAACTTTGATATTTGACACTATTAGGCATAGTTAACCCAAACCCATGCTTTTAAAGCAAAGACCTTTTTTCTTTTTTTTTTTTTTTTTTTTTTTTTTAAAAAATGAAAGACAGAACCAGGATTTTGCTTATTTCCCTTTCTTAGTAGCTTTTCTTCATTCTTTCAGTGCTCGGCCTTAGGTTGATTTTATGCGCTGTTTGTTATTTGTAAAATAATAATTTCTGAGCACTTTTTGGGTCTCCCTCCCTCCCCTTCCCCGTGAATATCCACTTTTTTCTGATTCTGTCTCCGTGTTGGCAACGGGCTTTTAGAAAGTTTCATTTTTGCATAGTTGCATTTGAACTTTTATCAGATTGTTTTGTTTGTGTATTTTTATTTTGCTTGAGTAGCTGAGTACCAGGACTGTCAGAGTAATGGGCTGCTGGATACCTCCTTAAAAATCAAGGTCCTCTTGCATGAACAGTTACTTTGCCTGTGATCACTTGAAGGAACAGAAAAAGAAACTGTTATGCTGGTACTTAAATATCTTTCAAAATTACGGTCCAAAGTGCCACAGTAGTGCTGTGACTCAGGCACGGAAAACCAACACAGGGAGCCCAGCACAGAAACCAAAGGTGCTCATCTGGCCAGAAGAGAAAGGTGAAACTTGACCTTTTCAATACTTGGGCTATTTTTTTTAAATTTTTTTTTTTTTTTTTTTAAATAAAATAGTGCTTTTTCCAAACAGAGGTGTTCTGCAACATCTGCTTTTGGGCAATTTTAATCATCTTATTTACCAAATCTTCCCGAACAGGGATATGTGGAGTTCCTTGGCTAGATGGAGCTGTTCCTGTGGAACTGAAGGCTCATTTATTTATTTAGCCACAAGAGGAAGACAGGATGAGCAGCTGTGTCAGACTTGCACACCTCTATACCCATTAATTCAAATATCCCACATGCTCTTGCAGTAATACTGATTTTATTGATATTCCAGGCCAGGCTGGAATATTAATTCTGGTCTAGTGGGTGACATCCCTGCCTGTGGCAGGATGTTGAAATTAGATGATCTTTAAGTTTCCTTTCCAACCCAAACCATTCAGTGGTTTTTTGACTTCACCTTTTTCATAATGAAAAGGGATTTTTCATAATGAAAAGGTCTTTTCTGTCCTTGAGCAGTGTTGTTGATGGGACAAACCAGTGGACGTGAAGAAAGAAGCAGGAAACCAGAGGTGGCACCAAGCGAGATCATGGAGGCAGAAATTGAAGTACAAAATAACAAAGAGGAACCCAAAGAGGTGAAGGCCAAAAACCAGAAGCTGACATCAGTCTTTGGTCTGGCAGACTTAAAAAATGGTAAAAATGTTTTGCCAGTTCTTTACTGTCATATTTTCTGTTTTTCATGCCTGCTGTTCCATTCCCTGTCCATAGGCCTAATTTTCTCCTATTCCTCATCTCTTCACTGAGGAATATACAGATGATTCTCATTTTGCCTTGCCATGTAACCATTTTGAGTTTTTTTAGAATGGAATACATGAAGATCTCAGAGCTTTCTCCATATTTAAGTCCTCAAATTTGCCATTGCAGCCAAAAAATGCCTTGCTGCTGGCTCAGTCTCTCCCCAAACACAGCCAGCATTGCTGGATTTGCTGAACCATGGACTAGACCCTGGTTATTCTCCTCATACAGGCAGCCTTTGCCTCCTGTTCCATTTTATGTTTAGGTGTGTTATGAGAGGAATGAAAAAGGGGAGCTGGGAGAAATCTGAGAATCACTAGCCAGGCTTACTTGGATTTTTTTTCTGTCAGTTACCAAACAAAACCAAATGTTATCTGCTCGATCAACAGGAGTATAGATTGAACACTTTCTCAGGTCTGACCAAGATGCTGAGCCTGTACACTGAATGTGCACAAGAAGAGTTTGCCACTTTCAAATAACTTCCACTTTCCTTTCTTGTACCTATCCCCAGGCCTCACTTCATCTTTTTCTCCCCTGCAGAAGCGATTGGACTGTACAACCTGGGGCAGAGCTGCTGTCTGAACTCTCTGCTCCAAGTGTTCCTCATGAACATACGCTTCACAAGGATACTCCGAAGGTACCTCCTCTTTGAGCTCCTGGGGTGTTTCCATGGCTGCACTCTGCTCTCCACTCCTTCTTTCATATGGGATGTGCATTTGAAAGGTTTGGATCACTGAGGTGCTATCAGGATGCTTTTGGTCCCTCAGCAAGGTCTCTGCCTTGTTGTGTCTGTCGTGCACTAACAAGCCCTGCAAAGGCAGAAGTTGCAGTGTTCAGACTTGTTAATCATCTCTGATTCATGTCCTGAACTGACTCTTTATGGCTTGTGTCTCTCTTTTCCCTAACAGGATATATATAATTTATATATATATATATATATAAAAATTGCAATTATAACTATAATTATAATTATAATTATACTATTATATAGCTATAATAATTATATATAGTAATTATATTTACATAATTATATGTATATAATTATATATATAAAAATAAATTATTATATAATTATATACATTTAAAAAATATATATAGTTTTGTTGCAGGTTTACTCACAGGCCTTATAATAAAGGATGTGTCATGTGTTGCCATATCCACCATTAATTTTGTCACTTGAAGCACGTAAACACAAACACACCCTAATCCCTGCCTCTGGGCCCTGGCTAGCCCCTGACAGAGAAGTGTTGCTGCAGATCCTGAATACCTGGCATTTCTTTGTTTTGCTTGACTGCTGTCCCTGTGTGTTTTGAGGAGGATTTGGGTGTCTCTCTCCCTACTGACCACACTAATAACTGGTTTGATTTGTTTTCAGTTTACTCAGTTCACTGCAGCTTTAGTCATCTAAGTGGATCATTCCTATTCAGTCCTTTCTTACACGCTCTCTGCTGAGCAGAGGAGAAAAGACAAATTTCAGACACGCAGAAATGATGAGTGTCATAAATGGCCAAGGCTAAATAATGTAGATTGTAGGTTACCATGCTTATTTGAAGAAAGAAAAACCTTTGCTCTATAGTGAATTTAGGGAGAACGAAGAGTTTTTGTTGGCATATTGTTGGCATATTTTGTTGGCAGTTGAAATACAAGCATTATGATATACGTGCCCAAGAAATTCTCGGGGCATGTTGAGAGTGAGGACATCAGTGCGTGGGAGGCAAAAAAGGTCTGGAACTGGCTCTAACTAATGTTGTTTCTAGAGGCCAGAAAGCACTTGATGTCCTGCTGGGCTTGTCTCTTATTCAGGAGCAAGCCAACTTAAAATTTTGGCCTTTTACTTTAGAACTGTCAGCCTGCACTGTGGGATTCTCTTTTCCCTTCTTTTAGCTGAAAACATTCCCATCCTGGTTCCTCTGGAGCTGCTGTCTCTGCTCCTGACCTGTGCTCCTTCAGGTGTGGTGTCTGACGTTTCTCCATGGAACCTCTGATCACCACTGGTGTTGCTTCTTCCCCTCCCAGGATCACAGTGCCATCATCTCCTGCTCAGAGGAGGAGCAATGTCCCGTACCAAATGCTCCTGCTGCTGGAGAAGATGCAGTGTGGCAAGTGCAAAGCTGTTGGTCCCACAGACCTGGCTCGCTGCCTCTCAGAGCACAGAGTGGAATGTAAGCAGCCCTGCCTCGTGCCCACCTCTGCCTGCATTATTCCCAGCAGCCCAGACTCCAAAATCTCCTCCAGGAATTCAGAAATGCCAGGAGTTAGATGCGCAGTGCTCCTTGGAGCTGCCTCCCAGCTGAGTGCAGTGTGTCTTACTTGTGAAGAGAGGAAAAATGAACCCTGCTGGATGTATTTGCTACTATCCAAAGGATGGGAGGACTATCAGACTGCTAGAAGATTCAGCTATGGATGCTGAATCCATTGTTTGATTTGTCTTGCTCTACTGGCATCATGATAGTTGTTACTTATTAGAAGAAAGGGATGGTGTGGAAAAGAGAATGTGTTTGCACAGATCCCCCTCCTGCTCCTTCTTATAAGGGCAGAGAAAAGAATTTGCAGGCTAAATCTCCCAGCTGGTCAAAGTTCTAAAAGAGAGAGGATTTAAATCACGAGTGTCAAGAGGCAATGGGATGCCAAGAGTCTGTCTATGTACAATTCACAGGGTATAACCAAATGCCCTTATCTTTGTCATATAAGAGCCCAAAGAGCAGTTTTCAGAATGGAAAGGGAGGTGCCCTGACCTTTATGAAAGGGGATCACAAAATAAACTCAGTATCCCTGTTTGCACCATTTTTCTCCTGACTCTGAGTGGCTTTGCAGTCAGCCATCTCTCTTCCAGTTAAAGAGAGAGGGATCAAGGGATTTATCCTGTCTGGTGTGTGAGACATGGACAGGCCCTGCTGTCATTTTAATCTCAGCACTCAGGGGCATTTTAGCCTTCCTGGGGCAGGAGGGGATGGGGAAAACAGGTCTGTGGAGTAATAAAGGTGAAAAAGAGAACAGAATCTTCCCTGTATTGTTTCTGAGGAGGATTCAAAGGGGATTGTTCACAAGGGCATGGTAGGACGTGACACAGAAGTGATAGGATAAGGGGTTATGCCTTGAAATGTAAACCAGCTTGAGAGCTGGTTTAGATTGAATATTGGGAAGAACTTTTTTACTGTGGGAGTGGTGAGGCACTGATGCAGGATGCCCAGAGGAGCTGTGGCTGCTGTGTCCCTGCGAGTGTTCAAGGCCAGACTGGAAGGTGTTTGCTGGTCTAGTGGGAGGTGTCTTTGCCCCTGGTGGGGGGAGTGGAACCAGATGAAGTTTAGGGCTCCTTCCAACCCAAACCATTCTCTGATGCTATGAAATGCACCTCCCAACTCAGTGGGCCATCTGAGCCCTCCTCTGGTGGGTATTGAGCATCCTCTTGTCCCTGCATCTGGTGACAAGGACATGAGTTTGGCACCGGGTGGTGCAAACACTCCTGTTTCTGCACATGGAGAAATTGCAGCTGGAGCCCAGTCTAAGCCCTGTCTCTGCAGGGAGGAGCAAGGGACAAGAAACTGGGTCTGAGGGGGAGAAAAAAAAATCTCCCTTTGCCATTTGTGGGAAATCTGTGCCTGGTGCTGTTCATGATGCTGATTGAGGTTGTGTTTTCTGCTCGTGCAGTGTTTGTGCAGCATGATGCTGCTCAGCTCTTTCTGACTCTCTGGAACTTGTTAAAGAAGCAGATGAAAAAGGCAGAGCTGGTAAGGATGGTGACTGAAATGAACCTTTGCCCCTTATCACGTGTGGTTTCCTCTGCTCCTTGAAGAATCCCATTCACTGGCAATTGTCCTAAGTTAAAGTTTTAAAATGATCTCTTCTTTCATTGCATCTTTCAAATGGGACAGAGAATCTTTGTTTCATAAGCTTTGACATTTGGAATCACAGTTAAGTTTTGCTCATGCTGCTTTCAGGACATGCCAGTCTCCATTCTAATGGGAGAGCTGATTAATAACTAAGAGACTGATCTTTTTGCAGCATTGTATTTAGTTATATTTAATTCCTTTTCCCCCCAAATTTCTGTAAGCAGTTATTGGTATATCTTGACACAGCTTTTCCATTCTTTGAAGTCAGCCATGTGCATTTCACTCTAATTAGTCACTGATGGTGTGTGATGTATATAACAGTTCCTCCCATGGGACTGGGAAGAGAAAAGTGACTCTTCCCTGACTGTTTTAGTCACAAAAGACAGGATCCTGTTGCAGTTTCAAGCAAAACAGAACAATTCTGCATCAAAGCAGGTCTTTGACTCTCTGGTCTTACAGGCTGTGTCTTTCCCCTCTGCTAGGGAATGAGGGGAAGGAGTTGTTCCCCTTTAAATTGTGGGAAGTACCCTGTCCTCATAAGTCATTGTCACATCTTGGTTCCAACCTCAAGGAAATTCAATATTCAAAGGAATAACCTTGCTTGAAATGTGTGACCACAGGGGCTTTCCCACCCACAGAGAAACAGCTCAGCTGTCTTCTCCACAAACCTTGTTTTGGCCTTTTTTTCCCACCCCTCAGGTGGAAGAGCTTCATGATTTGTACACGATCTGCATACAGGAGCGCGTGGCCTGTCAGAAATGCTCTTTTGAGGTGAAGAACAAAAGCACCATGTTAACCCTTCCACTCCCAGTGCTGGATGCCCATTCTCACAGGCTGAAGACTCTGGTAAGTTTAGCAGCAGCACTTTTTCCTTAGGAGATGATTCCCCTCTGTTCATACTGGATTTTTCAAATGCTAGTGGACCTTATAGTTTCTCTGACCACTTTACACTGTTTCAGCATAAAGGAGCTGCTTTGAAAACCTTTAAGGCTTTGAAGTAGGTATAAAAGACATTTATACATCAATACCTTCTTTGTGGAATATGTGTACCCCTTATTTTTCCCAACTATTGTAATCACAGCAGAAGTTAGGAGAAAATGAGATACCTTTTGTTTTTGTCCTTTGAATAAAACATGCCTTCTGTAACTTTGCTGTTTGCTTGGACCCTCTGAAATAATGTAGAAATAAAAACCCAGCTGAAGGAGTTCAGCTGAAAGAAGTCTCTGTCTTCTTAGGAGGACTGTCTGCAATACTTCTTCCATCCAGAGGAGCTGAGTGGACAAAACATGTGTTTCTGTCAACAGTGTGGGAGGAAAACAACTTTTCTGCAGGTAACTGGAGAATTATTTCTCCATGTCTCATACCCAGAACTCCCTTGAGCACTGGGGAGGGTGGGGAAAAGACTCAACCATAGGAATCTCAAGGGGAGATCAACAAGTGATATTTGCCAGCACGTCAGCGTCAGATGAACTTCAGGGAAGTTGATTTGCCTCTAGTGCTACCAGCATGGGGCTAGGAAAGCACACGAGAAGTGAAGCAGCCCTTGAGACACCCAAGGCTGGGTGCTGATGACACTAAAGCTGAGAAACTTGGCTGTCACAGCTCTGTCTTGTGTGGGCTACAGAGGCTTGGCATCTGCTGTCCCGTGGAACTGGCAAACATTCCCTGGAGAGCTGGCTCTTCTCCATTCTGCACACACTGGGTGGCAGTGGCTGTTGGCACCCTGCCTCCCCGGAGTTTGGCCCCAGTTTTCAGCTGCATTATTGATTGCTTTACAGAGCATGAAGCTCGTCCATCTGCCACAGACCCTGACCTTGCACCTGAAGCGCTTCTGCTTTGAGAGATCCTCTCGCACGCACAAGCTGAGTCACTACCTGCCATTCCCACAAGAGCTTGATCTCAGGCAAGTCCTGACAGAAAGTCAGTGCCAAGCAGATGACAGTGAAAAGGTGAGATACTCCTGTTCCAAAAGGGCAGATTTTCTTCTCCTCTCTGCTCCATTCTCAGAAAAATTTAAGAGATCGCACCAATCAAAGTATCAGTCTCAAAAATTTGTGTCTCAAACTTTACCTGTGCCTGCTGTTGTCTCACATCCCATAGTTTTCACTGATTCAGCCATTATTCAACATTCTGTGCTCAGATTAAATCATCAAAGGCACCATAACTGGAGCTTCCTGCTTAAGGACAAAAGCCAGGCTTTGCAGATCTCACCTGTCCTAGAGAGAGGAACTCTGTTCCTGGTATTTCCCATGAGTATTCTTGGTATTGTTGGCCACAGAGTTTGGTACTGTTGGCCACAACAGCTTTGCTAGGTAGCTGAGATGGATGTGCCCCACTGTGGGTCTGTTTCTCTTCCTGGGAAATAACAAGGGGAAGTGTGGCCACAACAGAAGGCACCGCTGCAGGGCTGGCTGTGGTGAACCTCTTTGCTGCTCCTTTGCTGTCCTGCTGCCTTTTCCACAATCCTCTTGTCTCCAGGGAGGCTGCCAGCCCATAGCTGCTGGGCAAAACTGAGGGTAAGAGCAAAAAAAGGCAGGATTCTCAAGGCCAATCTGATCTTTTTTCCTTACAAAATTCACGTCCTTGCTGCCCTGGCTGCTGCTTCTCTACAGTGCAAGGCAGGTGAGAATTGCTGTAGTGGAAGTTGCTCTTTGTGTCTCTTGGCAGGCTACGTGGCAGTATGAGCTCTTTGCCGTGGTTGCTCACTCAGGATCAGCCAGCTGTGGACATTACTGTGCCTACATTCGGAGCCTCACAGACTGTAAATGGTATTGCTTCAACGATTCTGAGGTGTGCCAGGTGAGCAGATCCAGCCACGTTTCCTTTGTACCTTCCTGGACACTCCTCCAGCTCTCACCCAGTCTGGCTGGTGCTAGAGAGAAGCAGGAAAGGAAACTGAGGCTGCAGAGCTTTGCCCACCTCTGCTCCAGGATGCTCTGGGCTGAGGGCAGAGTGACTCTCACTTCTGCACCAAGCAAGGCCTCAGGTTCTGTTTTGTGTGGGGTTCACATTCTCTGAACCTGAGAGGAGCAGAGAAAAGAATGATCAAAACTATTCTTGTCTCATTTGCTGCTCCTGTGTTGTGCCAAAGCGGAGATTGCTTAGCCAGAGTGATGGGGCTTTGTTTCCTTGGCTGTGTCCAGACTGTCAGTCAGGAGACAGTCACAAGATTTTGTTCAGTTGAGTGCTTGTGCACTTCCAGTTTAGATGTAGTGTAATATAGTACAGAATAATATATTATGATAAAGTAATTAATTAGCTAATTAATCATGGAGTCCTGCTCGTCATTCGGGTGAGAATTACACCAATAGTTTTGTGCATTGCAGAATGCAGAAGCATTCTGAATATTGCAGAATATTCAGGATATTTGCTGAATATCCTACTCAATGCACCCTACATCTGTTTAATGTATACCTTCAGAACTGTTTTTCCTCAAAGAGTAAAAGCAATAAACCAATTTATTGAAAGGTGTTTAGTTCCTGGAAGTGCCACTTATACCGCTCTTATGAGAGCTCCTGGGATGGTATCAGAATTTTTCCATCTCTTAAGAGTTTTTATCAGCCTCCTCCTGTGTGTTTTTCTTCTCTAGGTATCATGGGATGATGTTAAATGCACCTACGGACATTCCAACCTCTACTGGTATGCAAATGTATCCCTGATTTTTTTCCTAATGCTGCTCTGGACTTTGGAATGAGGGTAGCACAGAGAGGGGAGACAAACTGCTTTGGGAACATACTGCCTGGGGATGCAGGAGCTGTGCCAGTCAGGATCTCTCCACGCTTTTTGTTTTGATGCATCGTAAGAAAATGAGCTTACAGGAGGGAGATAATCTCTCCTATAAACCACAGCACTGCCAGCAAATCTTGGGAACACTGGAGAGGGCCAGCTTAGTTGACCTAAAGCTCAGAAAGCTGAGCAGGAACAATTCTGGGGTGTCACCTGCAACCTAGATCTTCAAACATGCCTTGTGATGTGCTTTCTCTTTGCCTCCACAGGAGAGAAACAGCCTATCTGTTGTTTTACATGAAAAAGCAGCCTCAGCAGCCCTGGCCAGGAGTATCAGAGTGTCTCTGAAAGCTGTGCACTGTCCCTGGAGCTCAGCAACTCTGTGCCAGTGAGGATATGCACTAAAGTTTCACAAGGAAGACATTCTGCACTCAGCAACCTCAGGCTTCACAGTTTGTGAAAAAAGTGCAGCAGACACTCAGCTAGGGAAAGGAACTGTTGCAACTAGAGACCTTTTCTTTAATGGTTTTTATATATTTATGTGACTCTACATGTTCATTTCCTCTTTAAAAGATGGTGAAGTCAGTCCTTGTCTCTGCTGCCTTACCATTTTCCTCAGTGCTGATGCCTGGATGCCATTCCAGGGGAAGTGTTTGGCCTGAGAGCCTGTGTGATGCTCCAGGGAGGTGTGTGCTATGACTGGAGAGCTGTGGGAGCCACAGAGAGCCAGTAAGAGCTTGAGATTTACTCTGTCCTTTCAGAACCATGTTAGATGCTGGCAAGCTGGGCAGGAGACCCCAAAAATCACCCTAGAAACAACTGGGGTAAGGATCAGAACCCTTATGGCACACACATCAGTGGCACACACTCCTGAAAACCTCCCTGAAAATGAATCACTGCAAGGGCTGAGATGTGTCAAGAAGTGTTTTAAATCAGGAGCTGTCGGAGTTTCTGATTTCCAAGATGAGTTTGTTTAAATTTGTGCAGGTGATTATTATTTCAACAGCCTTATCAGGCTTTTAGATGCATTTTCTTTCCTGTAGAGGAAGATGTTCAGAGCAGCAGAGATTTTGAAGCTGGTTAGTGATTTTGCACTACACAGGCCACACGTGGTGATAAGGGAAGTGAGATGCCTTGATGTGCTTGGATTTTTGGGATTTTTGGTAGTGTGGCTTTTAAAACACTCTTGCTGATCCTCTTGGATTGAGGATCCCAGCAGTCTGGGATCTGGAAGTACCTGCACCCTCATACACCCTGTGACTGTGTCTTTACAAAGGTGCTGTTTTTGTAGGACTGAGCAATTATGAAATTATATTAAAATTATATAAATGATATAAAACTATAAAAATAATGTAGATATACTTCCATCTGTGTATAACCTAGATTTGTCTTGGTAATGATGGTGAAGTTCACAAATCATGTCAATTTTATGAAGGTAAAGTGAAAAATCTTAGAGCATAGCTGTGAAATTAACTCTTTCATGGTGTAGCAGGTATTTATTTTGCTGTATTAGCAAGGTCCATTAATCTGTTCAGCTCTGTATTTGTATTATTTATTTTGTGGTAAAAAATCCCAGTGTATTATTTGCCATCAGGATGAGGAATTTTCAGCCTGTTCACCTTCAGGAATGCACTGCACCCTTTCTAAAGCATCTTGCAATGGGTGAGTAAGAAAAACAAGTTTCTGTTTGTTTTTCCTCTGTGAAGGAGCTGAAAAAAGCTGCATTTTTTCTTAGCTGAACTAAGTTAATGGGATAAGAGACTGACATTTCTAATTAGCTATAACTTGAAATTTTAAAATTTATGTTTATGAAAAATGGCTTAAATGCGTCATAACCTTCCAGGGATGTTACCCATCAAGGAAACAATTGCAGAGATATATTTAAGAATCTTTTCAATCAGTGAAAAGAAATTTTAGAATTTATGTTTATGAAAAATGCCTTAAATGCGTCATAACCTTCCAGGGATGTTACCCATCAAGGAAACAATTGCAGAGATATATTTAAGAATCTTTTCAATCAGTGAAAAAAAAAAAACATTTAATTCCAATGAAAAGTAATCAGTGTTTTTTTTTAAATAAAATATTATGGGATACATCCCTTAAAATCAGTCTTGTGGTTTATTCTTCATCTGTTCTTCCTACCATTTAATTCTAATGAAAAGTAATCAGTGTTTTTTTAAAATAAAATATTATGGGATACATCCCTTAAAATCAGTCTTGTGGTTTATTCTTCATCTGTTCTTCCTAAACACTGAATGCAGGTCAAGTATTCAGGGTAGAGCTGCTGCTGATGTTTATCTCTAAGAGTCATGGTGGCTTGGTTTGAAAAGACAGGTTTGTCTGAAATAGAAAATGTAAATCCCCTCCCTCCGAATTATTGTAATTTTTGAAACTACGGGGCTCTCAGGCAAAGATATGGGAATAGGAATAACAGTTCTTGACCAGGAAAATTAAAAATACAAATGTAATAGTACAAACAAAAGAAAAACCCACTACCAGAGTCAGAGCAGGAGCTGGGCCCTGTGTGTCAGGGTGGTGGCACAGCCCCATCCCATGGTGGCTCAGCCCTCCTGCAGTGCCAGCTGTGCTTCTGCTGGAGCAGGGATCCTGCACAAGGCTGGAGTTTTCCTCTGGAGCTCCAGGGCTGCTGGAGATGGGCCTGCTCTTCCTCTGGGAATGCAGGGCAGGAGAAAGCTGCCCCTCTGGGAATGCAGTGGGCAAAGGCTGCTGTGCTGTTCCAGGCTCAGATTGTATCCAGGTAGGAATGCTTGGCTCCTGCCCTGGGCGGAGCATCTCCCCATGGGATGATGGAATTTTGTCAGCCCTGCAGGGACAGGCCATGTCCCTGGCCATGAACAGAAGATAATTAATAATTAATGGCCCATTAACAGAAAATATCTGATCGAGGGAGAATTGGTTTGTGGAAGAGACAAACTGCCCAATGACCAGCAGAGAACTGCCCCACCTCTGAGAGATGGCAATAGAATACCCCCAAGCCATATTTTACAACTCAGGACACAGGGAAATCCAGCTAAACCTGGTCACTTCACCCTTGTGCTGGGGGCACAGTGAGTTGGTTTTCAGGTTTGCTGTCCCGTGAAAGCTTTGATTGCTCCCACACAGAGATGGGGGAGTGGGAGGGTGAGCAAACTGCAGCGCCGGAACTCCGGTTTAAAAACTGCCCAAGCTGCTCCTGCAAAAAACCACCCTGGCTGCCCCTGTGTCCACAGCAAAGCCCAGCCTGGTGCTGGATGAAGTGCCCAAGGAGGGATTTTCAGCCCAGTGCCTGGGCTCAGTGCTGGTGTGCTGCTGAGCAGGAGAGTGGGGGGAGCCTCGCCCCCAGACTGCTGATGTAAAACAGCTCCTGGCATTTCTGCCAGAAACACTTCTCCACCAAAAACCTGCTGCAGAGGAGCTGGGATTGTCTGTCCTGTGTTTGAGTCACCGTGCAAATAAAGCCCAGCACCAATGGCAAGGGTTTTGAAAAGCCAGATAAAGCCAAGAGGATGTTTGGAGAGATTATTGTGGGTCCTGGTAACTCCTGGTTTCCATTTTTTTGTTTGGTTTAGGATTTCCATCAGTAGCAAATTACACATCCTCTGCTCCATCCCTGACAGGCTCTTCCTCAGATTCAGATATTCCTCACCTTCAAGAAATGCACAGAAAGCCAGAAGAAAAAAAAAATAAATACATCTAATAAATGTCTCACAAAGATATTAATTTCTAAAACCTCAGTATGTAGTTTACAAAATCACTGCAGGACAGGGAAACAACGATCCAGAGAGTCATGGTCATCACAGATCTCTCCTGCACATCCCTTTACTCACAAATCAGGAGAAAATCCATGTAGGGGAATGAAATCTCTACATAGCAGCCCTGGGCACTACAATTGCTGGTTAAACCCTGCTTTCATTGCAGAATTCAGGCCAACAGACTTGATCATTTTGAAATAAACCTGATCTTTGAGAAACAAAATTAAAAGGGTTCTGAATGCAGTGACCACTCATCTTTTGCTGAGAGCAAAAGCTATGGGGAGTCTTGAGATCAAATATATATATATATATAATAGAAATATTAAAAAGTATAAAAATACAGGTGCTTGGTGCTGTGTGGATGGAGCTATATTGGGAATTTTTAAAGAAATTATTTCTCCTGTGGACAGGTAAATGCTTCCTCCTGAGACAAGCAGATATCTGGCATCTTCTGGTGATGTGTTCAGGACAGCTGAGATGAAAAATGGTCTTGGGGCATGTGCCAGCTCCCCAGATCCCACTTTTGTTGCAGAAAAGCAGAGACTGTGAGGTTTACAAAAACCTGCAACCTCCACCACTGCAAAATTGCCGTGCTGAGCTCACTCAATAAATTCTTGAGGAGCCTGCAATCAGTTTTTAAGTTCTTCAAAGGGTGAGATAACCAAAATTCCTGCCTCCTCTTAGGATACCACTCCTGCCCATATTTTCCTTGTCTGCAGCAGGCAGGAGGGAGGGGCAAAGCTGATTTAAAAGGTTTTGCAAGAACCCACAGCCTCTCCTTGCCTGACTGCACATGGCCACTTTCCTGGAGCTGCCCACTGGTGGGAGGATGCCCATCCTGGGACTGGGGACCTGGCAGGTACCTGCTGCAGCTGGGGAGCTCTCAGATTGCTGAGAACCACTGTGCATTTTTGCAGCAATCTCCTCTTCGGGGCAGGAGAATGCAGCAAATCCTCTGTGCAATATTTCCTTTTGAAATATCTCAGGTAATGCAGGGATTTATTCCCAGCCTTCAGGAAATCTCAGGAGTCAGTGGAGGTAGTCAAGCAGGTACAAGATTTTTTTCTTAGCTATGGAAAAAAAATTGCATGCTGAAAAACTAAAAACTTCTGCCCAGCTTGTTTTTCTTCTTTTCTTTTTGTGTTTTTTTTTTTTTTCTTTTGTTTTGTGTGGTGATTTTTTTTTTCTTTCAGCACTTTTTGTTAATATCCCATGTAGGATATGTAATATATCCCATGTAGTATATGTAATATCCCATTCATGTCACGTTGGTGTCATCTGTGATGAGTGTGTGTGGATACAGGAATTTAAGGGGCAATAAGTAGATTTGGAAATGGGAACTCACAATAATTCCTTAGAGACTTGAGGCTAACTTGTTTTTATTGGCAGCAGATGAGCATGCAGCACTTTGCAGGAATATAGTTTGGGTGGTTCTTTACCTGTAAATGTTACCTAATGGACTTATGGTAAGAGAGAATAGGTTAAAGAATATACTGAATTATAAATGTAAAAGGAGTCTGGAAATGAGCTGAAAATTTTAAGAAACTGATCTTAAGAAAAAGATTTTAAAAAGTGAACTTTCCCCTGGATCTGAGACTGGAAACAAAATATGTCACATCACAACTTCCCAGCTCCATGAAACACTTTTCCAGTCACCATAAAAATATCTTAAATTCTTGCCATATTTTTGGGCCAGTTGATCTAATCAGCATTTAACTTTATGTGCACAAACGTGGGTGAGTTTGTTTGACCAATTCAGTCTTTATTTTTCTGATGACAAAGGACACTAAGAAGCATAAAGTAATTAAAGCAGGCTTTAAAAACCAAAGTGTGCCTTGGGGGGCCTCTTAGGAACTGGTTAGGACTGAGTAGAAGGAAAATTTTGGGCACATGATCCCTGCCACCACAAAACAATGTCTTCTGTTATGTGATGAAAACAAGGCCCAAGTGTGGCAGTCATGTTTTCTGGAAAAATCCCCTTGCCCAGGATTCTTCTCCTGGAAAGCTGAGAAGCCTCAGAGAAAAAGGAAAATGATAATTAATGGTGATATCTTCATTAAAGCTGTTTGATTTCAAGGTTCCCACAGCAGCCTCAGCATTTTGGTGCCTTAACAGGGACTCCCCTTTACCCAGCAGCTCTGACTCGAAGCCAAGCTCAGTGAGCACCTTGGAGAATGAAACAAGGGATTATTTTCTCTGGAAAACATCTCACATGACAGAGTTTTATGTAATCTCAAGGGTAGGTTGTTGCCTTTGCTCTCCACCCCTCAGCATGGCAGCTTTCCCAAGCTGCAGCAGCACCCAGGGATGAGGGGCTCCAAAATTCCAGCATTTGGCCACTGCTAGCCTGCTTGCCCATGCCTGCTTCCTCCTGCTGCCCTGGGAGGCTCACATCCAGGAAGGGATGGGATGGGGAAAGGGACTGCAAAAAAAAGAAAACTTGTAAAGCTTTCAACTGGCTCTTTAGTTGTGTGCAGAAAAAAATTGCTGCGTTTTCTATGTTTTTGTTGTTAATTTAGGTGAACCAACTAAACACCCTTTGACTGGAAAAACCTGGAGAAGTGATATAATTAAAAAAAAAAAAGGAAAAAAGTAGGAGGTGGTCATGGTTTTGAATCATGTTTCTGTTTGGAGTGCCATTTTCTGGATTTGGTGTCTCCAAGCCAAGAATCTGAAGTGATTTATTTTGCTATCAAGTACCAAGTGTGGACTTTACCCAGGAGGTGGCACTGTGTGTAGTGTTTTGAGTCCCCTCACCTCCCCATCCTGGGTCAACAAGAGCTGGGTTGCTTTGTGCAGGGTCAGGGCACATTCCAGAGGTGATTGGTTTCCTCTTGTCACCAGGATGTCACACTAAAGTTGCTTTTAATTCTGGGGAAATTAGAACTTATTTCTAGATAGCCTCGTGTCCCAAGGTGAACTTCCAATACTTAGAAAAGGGAGGATCAGCACAGGCACCTCATCAGTGACTCCCTTTGCCATTTGATCTCACAAAACTAATGAAAGCCAGATCCAGGCTGGTGTTGGAACCCTGAAAGCTGAGGATTTTAAACTTTCTGTGCTCAAAGGCACAGACCCACAAGAGAACACTGCATTTGACC